AATAATTGCTTGTATACGTGCTATTTGTAATAATATAATAAGAATATTTTTAAAAACAAAAAAATAACTTGTATAATCATGACTACCACAACCAAATATAGCATATAATCGTACAATAAGAAAAGGTATATCCATAAGAAATGTTATTAATAATGAATTTGTTAAAAATGAATGTAATTCTTTTAATCTATTATTAATAACTTCAGGAACATAAATAACAAATTGTAAACAACTTATTGACCATACAATTAAAGTTGCATAAACAAGACGTGAATTTGAATAAAGTTGAGGATATGATAATAAATCAATAAAATCTAACAAATCCATACTTGTTGCAAAATATCTAAATAATAAATCTGTTTTACCAAAATATGTTATTGAATCTTGTTTAGGTAATAATGCACGAAGTATAAGAAGAAGAAATAGAAAAACTTGAATTTCAATTTGTGACCATATATATTTGAAATTTTTTAAAAATTCTTTTGGATTAATCCATGGTTTTTGAATACCACCAAATTGATTTGGAGCATTAGTAAATAATATAGGAATAGTTTTCCATTTATCTTCTTTAAGTTGTTTAATTCGATGTAGTTCAAGTACCCATATAGAAGCAATTATTGTTATTGCATAAACAAATATAAGAATTGAAAAACCACGAAAATATTCTTTACATCGATAAATTATTAAAGAAATAATGGCTTCAACACCAAAGAATATTGTTCCAAACATCGGAATAAAGTATAACTTTGTTTTAGCCTTTATAGTATAAAGAACATATATTGAAAGGCCCATATGAATAGCACATAGAAGGTGAGCAATAATCAGACGAATAAAACGGTGAGGAACGATTGGTTTTTTCGCTATTTTTTTCTTTTTAAACATCTATAAAGTTGTTTCAATGATTAGAATAAATATTGATAATAAATAAAAAGAAATGTAACTGTCGAATATTTGATTATAGATGAGAAATTTAATATTTATATAGTTTTGTTATTTCTACAAAAGGTCTTCTTGATATTTTATTGATTCCAACTTCTATGTAATGAAGCGTATTAATCTGACAACTATTTCGTTACTTTTTTCTTTCTTTCTTTCTCTATGAGAAAGATCTTTGTAATCGACGAAAAAAAAAGTGCATAAAAACATTTCAAAAAGCAAATCAAAGAAAAATAAAATAAATAAATAAATATGCTCATTTTCAGATGATAAATAAATAATAGAAACAAAAAAAAAAAGAAATATGGATGATATGGATATAATTGCTGAACAACATCCTCTTGAACAAATAGGAACAAATCATGATCAAATAAATGATGATAATAATAATGATACTATACCACGATTAGCTGAACCAATTATTATTCGTGGTGCTGGTCATGTAACTGTATTTGCATTAAATAATAAATTTGATGAAGAATATCCACAAGCTTTAACATATAAAGTTTCTCGAGATGAATATCAAGAAACTATTAAACGAGTTAATATGATTTTAAGAAAAAATGTTCCAATGAATTTTAAATGGTAAGCTAAAGAATACGTTCATTAATTAATTAGAATTTAGTGATTGATTTGTATAAATTTTTCAATTAACTCATTACAAA